GATTTAGTCTATGTGACTAATGAAGTCCCATTCATTCGGAATAGAGTTCAAGGGAGTTTAGTGAAGACCGAAGATGATTTAAACTTGAATTGGTGTTGATTAGGTTGGATGATCAATTAAGCTAACTTAAGCTAGCTCAACTGGGTTAGATGTACTTAATAGCTAAAGGATTTAATAATCAGTGGTCTACTATATGAAACTTCTAGTGGGATGGTTTGGGTCATGACTGAGGTCAAGTGGTCAGTGTGCTATGCATGGTAGTGCCCTGGGTCAACTGATTACAGAACACTGATTGTCTAAATGATTGAAAGTGGTGGATGACTAATTAAAGATTGATTGAAATATAATTGGCTATCAAGGGTGATTATGAATCAATTGGATATTGGGTAATTTATTGTTGATCATGGACTTTGAAATATAATTGAATGCATATTATATGGTTGATTAAATGCTTGAAGATGATTGATTGATTACATATTTAAAGATTGAAATCTGATTGGATGGCCAAGATGATTGAAGATCATATGACTATCAATCAGATGATTATAAGCTGAATGAATGTAAATCAAGGAGATATAAGTCAAGTGATTGTAGACTGGATGATTGAAAATTGAATGATTATCAATCATCAGATGAAAATCAGAAATTTGGATAGTTTAGGCTAATGACCTTATACAAAAATGAGGCCAACAAGTATAAATAACATATTCAGATTTAAATAATTAAGGAGTTATTTAGCAAAAGGGCTTTAACAAGATTTATGCTAAATCCTTTCAAACGGGGTTTGAGCATCTGCTAAATCTCGCAATGGAATAAATATTCCATTTCCCTATTTTTGTCATAAATCTCAGATTTACTAAATCTTGGTGTTTAACGAATTTGGGATTTGACGAAAGAAGCACACAAAAGAGATAAAGACCACCTCCATAGCAAGTGAGCTACCATCATGACATTTGATCTGATGTCATCGAAGGAGGCAATGATAAAGATGGACTAATGTGCGTAAAATAATAAATATTTCCTAATGAAACTCTTAAATATTGATATGAATCAGCGCATATGTATCATAAATATCTATCGAGCTTATAAGTGTGAAAATGGATGTTTATAACCTTCCTACTATTCAAATGTCATAATATAACCTACAAGGTTTAACATCCTATATATAGGCATTGCAATATTTTATTCCAATACTCCTATTTGTTCTATTTATTTTTCATCATGGTAATATATCACACTAAATATTAACTACAAATATGGCCATTACATGTATTTAATTAAGAATGAGAGATATAAAAAATATCCATAATTTCATTCAAGGCAAAAGAGTCTATATTAATACTTTTAATGTGTTCACAATATTAGCCCAAAACTCAAAATTTAGACAGACATGATAAATATATAAATCAAACACACTTTTATTTCTTTCATATAAGTGAAGATACATGAAAAAAAGTAAGATAAAATATCACCAAAATAGTATAAATGTACTCTCCACACTCTTTTCTCCTCCAAATGTATGATTTCTCACAACATGGTAGGTTAAGATCTTCAAAGTAAATATCTCTCTCCTCTAGCTTCCCTTAGACTTGGCTTTAAGAGGCACTATAGAAAAGTATAAGTCCGCACTATTTATGGTAGAACTACAACAAACTTTAAAATAAGAATTATTTATACTAAGTACATAAATGGGCTTAGGCTAATGCTATTGGGCTTGCTCTGCTACGGTGCTGAAATAACTCGACACATTTATTACCTGCACTAATGCGTTGCTTGGAAAATTCGGAGTGGCTCCGTCTTTCTTCAACTGCTCTTCCACGGTGATGCAAAAGTTGAGTACTGTTGTACTTAAATGTGAAAACCGGTGATGTGGCCTTATAATGCTCGACACTGCGGCGCTCAAATTCTTGAGACTCGGGTGTTGCGGTGCTAACCTTGGCTCCACTGGGTCATTAAATTTTTTGTCATTTTTTTAGGCTCATGCATTGCGATTTCTTGATCTAGCACTTAGGCGTTATAGACGCCACAACACTAGTATTTGGAGTGCTGCATTGGTGATTTAACACATGTGAATTTTTTCTATTTTCCTAAGTATTTCTTGCATAGCATCAACTAAAATACTAAACTTTCACTGATTTTTAAGATAATTAAATTGTATAAAATTTACACTTAATAGGAGAATTAGTTAAATAATTAATTATTTCAAAAAATCATTAACTACTTTATTTGATAATTATTAATTAATATAACTAGATATCAAATATTTATTAAATTAAAATTATTTTTATATAAAAATATAGATACCAACATCAAATTAGTAATTTGATAAGTAACTTGCATTTAGCACTTACATAAGTATTTTGATAAATAGTAATATAATTAATTTTTAAATTATTTAATTAAGATAACTCCTGATTAATTTTTTTATCATTATAACTTATTAATCTTAATTAAAACTAAAACTAATGAGTAACTTGTACTTAACATGCGATTAAATCCATAACACATTAAAATTCATTTTTAAATGAACCAATGGCCTTAAATATAGAATTGCAATGTGACAAATAGTTTCACATGATTTATTAGGATTTAACAAATATTTTGCTTAGTTGTTTTCAAGAATTAATATGTAACAATCTAACCCGATAAGACCAATAGATGAAACAAGTCCTATCGTGTTGGCTTACAATAGACAAATCCCAAGATCTAATTTTAAAAATTTTCCATAAATCTTCTTCCAAATAAAACTTTAAAAAATAGCAAACCATAAAGCTACTAACATCATCTAGTATATTGAAAATAAACTCATTCGCAAATATCTTTTCATTCCATCATCAAAATGTCCATGTAATATTTATATTATAGTACATGACTATGGAATATAATATAGAGAAGAATTAATAAAAACTAGTTATGATTTTATAAAAATTAAAAGAAGAATACTTATACAAACTTAGATCACATCCTGAACAACTACTCAATTAGCTCTTTCTCTTTTCCAAACCCTAAAAAAAGGAAGCAAAACATCTACGAGATACACAACTCATTAGGCCATATTTAAATTGATCTGAATTTTTTAATCATTTAATTTATTAAATATTTACTAAATTTTAAAAGCAATGTAATAAACAAGAAAAACATCTATGAGATACACAATTTATTAGGGCATATTTAAATTGATATAGATTTTTAAATCATTTAATTTATTAAATACTTACTAAATATAAAAATCAATATAATAAACCAAAGGGTTGAGCAAGGAAATAAATGTAATTTTTAAAACTTTAAGTAATGGTACTGGGAAATAAATGCACAAGCAATTCATATATCACATAACCCATCATACATAATTTAGAGAATTCTGACCTTTATACCTTCTAATAGACATAGTTCAATAGCATTGACCCTTATTCCTATTAGCAGATAGAGTTCAACAACAATGTTGTGCATATAACACCAGAATGTGCATTTAACATCAAAACATAACTTCTTTCTCCACACAAGATCTCTTAAGAATCCAACATTTCAATCAAATAAAAATATAATTCATTATATTGTAATAAATAAAGTGTAAAAGAGGCTCATTTCAAAATTTGCCATAATGCCTTAACGTTAGGCAATAGAAAATTCTACTAAGCAAAAATTTATATTTTTCCAGGAAATAATTAGATTACTAGAGATTGTGCAGAATATTATTGTAAGACTTTAATTGTAGCACAATAATATATTTTAGAGTTTGGATTATTTTCTATTCAATTAAAATAGCATAAATCCTAAAATCTCGATGTAAAATTTCCAAAAAATATCCAATGTTTAAAGCCATTATCTTTATAACATACTGAAAGTTATATGGTGAAAGTTTTACGGATGAAAAGTTATTCTTATTTTTCGTTTACGAAAATATAAATTTAATCTAGAAATTTAAAAAATTCCATATTTTTTATAACTGAGATAAGCAAAATGTGACATATCTCGATTTAGATAACTTTTAGAACTAGGCCGTTTGTAGAAAATAACCCAAAGCGGCTAAAATATTCCTTTCCCTCATTAAAATCCTTCACTTTTTCTCGGTAGTGTCGGGTGCCCAAATGAAATGACTCGAATGGAATAGTGCATTTAGATATTTAAAATATTAAATCTGATCCGACACCGCATCGCCTAGCGGTGCTGGACACAATGCCCTTTAGAAAACTCATAACGTCGCCTCACCCACCAGAGTGCGAAATTAAATGCAGATTTTCTCAAATATTCTTCCATTGGGGCGCTGCCAAACCAAGCGCTGCAATGCTCTAAGAGAAAAATTTTAGATTTCACAAACATGCAAATAAACTCCCAGGACTCACTCCCAGAAAATATAGAAACTTTCAAATGCAGACAAAATATTCTCAACCACATGCAGAATGGTTAGACATGTAAATATTCAAGAATTTACCTCTTTCAAATTTGGTCAGAACAAAGTGACTGAATTTTGAATTTGGAGGTGTTAAATAACATACCCCAGGATTTACTAAATCTTAGATTTATAGGATTTACTAAATCCTACTTTTGCCAAATAGCCCCTAAACATATAACATCGCTTGTTTTAAGAAGCTAGCTGGAGATGGGGACATAAATTTTTTTTGTTAATCGATCACACGCGATCTAAATTTGCCGAAGACGAAGAAGTCACTAAAAATAAAAAGGTTCAAGCAACTTCTGATTTGAAATGTTAAATTATAGTTTTATAAATAAGAGTATTTCTATCTTAAATAATTATATTTCTCTAAAAAATTTAATTATAAATTTATAATTAAAATTTTTCAATTTTATTAAACATATAAAATCAATTTTCTAAATGACAATATATGGAATATCATTCAAGTAAATTTTATAGCCATTATCCCAATTGGTCTAACGGATATAAAAATCAAATACGGCTTTTAGGGTGACGTTATGGGAAATAAATTTCCTATAAAATATTTACCCAATTTGACGCCCCTCCTTTTTCTCTCCCAATCAAAACGCCGCCCGAAGCTGGCTGTCTATAAATATAAGAAGTTCGACAACTCGTGATCGGAGCGGACAGAGCAGCGGGAGAGAGGCACCAGGATTTGGTCATTGGACTTGCCATGGAGCGATTGGCCAATTCACCATCTCTCTAGGGTTTCAATTTCAAGAAGACAAGGTCGCTGCCGTCAATAACAAGGGAGAAACACAGGCACAGGGAAATGTTCTAAATCTAAAGCACGCTCTAATTACAAGTAAGCGTTGGGTTTTCAATCGATCTGGAGCATCTGGGGTTCCTTTGGCAATGGCTGGAATGATAAAAAAGCGTTTCTTAGAAGCTCCGGTTTATTTTTTCTACATTTTTTAGTTGAAAGAAGATTGTATTAGAAGGGAGAGGAGATGGAGTTTGCGAGGATAGGGGGTTTTAATGTACAGAAGATGTGTGGGCGCCGAGCGGAGGTGCTCTCCAGGGATGGAAGCCATTACAGCGCCACGAGCAACATACTTCCGGCGCTTGGGTCTAGGGGGAACCGCAGACTAAAGCTCAGGCCATTCATTCTATCTCCCTATGACAAAAGATACCGGTATTCGTTCTCCTCTTCATCTTCTTTTTCCATGAATATTAAACCTTGCCAAAGAATCGAATTTAGATTAATGAAAATGAAGCTTCCATATTTGGATTAAACTTGATGACAAAAATGTACTTTTTAAAATCATTAATTTTTGTTAGTAAGATATAAGCAACTGTAATTTCTATTAATAATGTAACATTAATATCATTTTTTTTGCTTTTGCAGGGCCTGGGAGACTTTTCTGATTGTTTTGGTGGCCTATAGTGCTTGGGTATCTCCATTTGAGTTTGGTTTCCTCACAAAGACAGCAGGTCCCTTGTCTATTGTCGATAATATCGTCAATGGATTCTTTGCGATTGATATTATCTTGACTTTCTTTGTAGCCTACCTTGAAAAAACAACTTATCTTCTTGTTGACAATCCCATTAAGATTGCACGGAAGTACTTGATAAGTTGGTTTGTTCTGGATGTTGTTTCTACCATCCCTTCAGAATTTGCTCGTAAGATGCTTCCAAAAAAGCTCCAGTCGTATGGTTTCTTTAACATGCTTCGGCTTTGGCGACTTCGAAGAGTTAGTTCCCTGTTTGCTCGGTATGATTTTCTTGTTTGCCTGTTCTCTGAATATTATTCTGCTTATGTTATAGCTGGGTTGGTTTTAGTTTATTTGTGAGAAACCCTGTCAGGTTCTTACTCTGTATTATAGATTCTGTCTCCCCTTTGCATAACGGTAGAGAAACTTTGGCTAATACGTGCAAAATCTTTTCCTTCTTCTTGTTAGTTCTGAAATCTTGCTGGCAAATTACTTGTAGTAGCGCATAGCTTTTGACATGGCAAATTGCCTCTACCAGAGTGCAATATAATGGAGAATAACCTCTCCTTGATATAAAATAAACCAATTGTTTTTTACGCCTACTAAATTATGTGTTTCTCTCTTTGAATTTTCAGTTTGGAGAAGGACAGACACTTCAACTACTTTTGGGTCCGCTGTATAAAGCTCATTTGTGTAAGTTACTAAGGAAATATCAGTTCTGATGCTCTGATTTATTAATTCGCAAATCTCACTTTGATATTTTTAATTCACAGGTCACCCTTTTTGCTGTCCATTGTGCTGGATGCTTCTATTATCTTCTCGCAGCCAGGTATCCCGACCCGAGATTGACTTGGATTGGTGCTACTATGCCAAATTTTCATGAAAAAAGCTTGTGGATCCGGTATGTAACATCAATGTACTGGTCAATCACTACTCTTACAACTGTGGGATATGGAGATCTGCATGCTCAAAATACTAGGGAGATGGTCTTTGATATCCTATACATGCTCTTCAACCTTGGGCTGACAGCATATCTAATTGGAAATATGACTAATTTGGTTGTTCATGGCACCAGCAGAACTAGGAAGTTCGTGAGTTATCAAAGCTTAATTCCATTATTGACTAACTTTATTGAAATGTATTTGTATTTACTTTTTGATGGATGTCATATACACTAGAGGGACACAATTCAAGCGGCCTCTGGGTTTGCACAGAGAAACCAGCTTCCATTGCGCCTTCAAGAGCAAATGGTCGCACACCTATGCCTGAAGTATAGGACAGATTCAGAGGGACTACAACAACAGGAGACTCTTGATGTACTCCCAAAAGCCATCCGATCCAGCATTTCTCATTATCTTTTCTATAATCTTGTCCAGAAGGTCTATTTATTCCAAGGGGTTTCAAATGACTTGCTTTTCCAACTGGTAAAGTTTTTATTATGATTTTAAAACTGTCTTTCATATCTGTTATCAATTCTTTAAGCATTCTATTTTGTAATAATGTTTCATTAAGGTGTCAGAGATGAAGGCTGAATATTTCCCCCCAAGGGAGGATGTGATCCTACAGAATGAAGCACCATCTGATTTTTACATATTGGTTACTGGTACTGTTGTAAGTCTTCCTCTATAGCACATTTACAATTATTCAAATATCAATATTTATTTTTCCTACGCTGTAATCACTTATTTTGATGTCCCTTCTGTGTCTAATCTCACAATGATTGAGGCATTGATCATCTTTGCAGGACCTTATAGATCACAAGGGTGGAATTGAACAGGCAAGTTTCAGCTAAATGTAAAATTTGTCAGATTCTTCATAATTGAGTTATTATAAATGCTGACCATGATTTAGAGAACATTTACAAACTTGTCATATTTACAGGTTGTTAGAGAGGCAAAGACAGGCCAATTGTTTGGAGAGATTGGAGTACTTTGCTACAGGCCTCAGTTATTCACAGTTCGAACCAAAAAGTTGTGCCAGTTGTTGCGGTTGAACCGCACTTCATTCCTTAGCATTGTGCAGGCAAATGTTGGAGACGGGACTATAATAATGAACAATCTACTTCAGGTTCATCCATGCATTAGATTATTGATGTGAAGTACTGCAAAAAATTATATTAAAATTATTTTACTTTGTAGTGAAGATCTAGAAATCATTTGCTAGCATAGTTTTTAACTGATAGACTTCTATCTGCATTGCTTTTGGGTTACAGCATTTGAAAGAGCAGAAAGACCCCATTATGGAGGCAGTTTTGAGAGAGACTGAGAACACCCTAGCTCGGGGAAGAATGGACTTGCCTCTCTCTCTTTGTTTTGCTGTCATCAGAGGAGATGATCTGTTGTTGCATCAACTTCTTAAGCGTGGTTTAGATCCATGTGAATCTGACAGCAATGGTCACACTGCTTTGGTTTGCACTCTGTCAATTCATTTTTTTTATCTTATGTGAAAATAGTAACTTCCCTTGAATAATATAATTGATTTGACACAGCACCTGGCAGCCTCAAAAGGAAGTGTGAATTGCGTACTTCTCCTGCTAGATTATGGCGCAGATCCCAATTCTCGAGGTATGCTGTAAGCATATTAAATTTAAAAAGTCACCAAAATTCTGTACGCTAACCTTCAGTATAAGTTTAAAACAAAGCATTTGTTGGTCTCATATGTGCTTTCGGCCCTAGGTGAGGAAGTTTCATGATGTTTTGAATTCTAACTGGTTCCTTTTTTTACCTGTGTTGAAATCTTAATCTCTGTTTTAGTTTCTTGGTCTTAATTGATAAATTAACATGCTAGTTTGAAATATTTCTAGTGTTTTTTCTGCCTATTTGTTTGAGCGAATGGAATCCAAACTTTTGTACTACTATTTTCCTTGGACATTATTTATTAACAAGACATACTTTGCTATTCAAGCTTCAGATGCAATAATGGTGATGGGAGCAAAGAACCACATATTGCTAATTCATGTATATAATTTAAAACTTAAAAAGATAAAATTCAATTTACACACACAAGAACGACAACATCAAACCTTTATCCCACCACATGAGATTAGAGTTAGACCTGAACTAATCCAACCTGGATCAGTTCTGGTCTACTCCCACCAGTCCAAGAAAATTTGAAACCATGGTTGGGCCCATGGCTTAAATTAAACATGGTTTGGGAGGGAAAATTTGAATGAGGGGCTGTTTAGGGATTACGTAATTTTACTTTTGCTTTAATTAATTTTTCTTGTTAGGATTTGGGTTTATTTTGAATTTGAAATCATATTTGAGATCTAGGGTTTGTTCTTTTGGGCTCTAGGTTTTGCTAGAAAATTGATGAAACTCGTATCTTGTATTCCTTTTCTTGTACGTAGATTGAATAGAAGATGTTTTCCTTATATTTTCTCTCCAATCTTTTGAAATTTTTGCATCTTATCGTTGATTCTCTCTAAAATCAACAGATTTCTCTCTATTTTCACCAATTATTGATAAATTTGTTGTCGAACTCAAGTATTTTCAATCAAATTGGTATCATAGTATTGTCTTGGGACACCATCGGCGGCTGAGATTCTGAAATATCAGCGGTGAAATTTCATCCGGAAGATCTTCTCGTGATTCTTGGGAAGAAATATGACCTGGAAGAAGGTTAAAGTTTTAGAAGGCAAAACAGTGCAACTTAAATCAGATTTGGAGGAAAATTTTTCAAATTTTCAAAATCAGATTTCATCAAATAATGAAAGGATGGAAGGGAAGTTTGCCATGATGGAAGAGATGTTGAAGAAATTGTTAAAAGTGAAGACCAATCTGACGACATCGAAAGCAAGGGAAACCATTGGCGGCCATGGAAGTTATGGAAACCCTAACATGTTTAGGGGAAGGGAAAATCCGAAAGTGGAGATCTTGGAGGGTGAAGAAGAAATGCCTCATCTGGAACCAATTTCTAGGGAAGAGATGAGCACTGGTTTCGAAAGAAGGGCTACTGATTTTGTAGAGAGAAGGGGGATTTCTATCGCAGAGGTACTGAATTTGAAAGAAGAAGAGGGGAATTTAATGAATGAGTTGGGTATGATCGCCAGAGGGAAGATCATGACAACTGGGGAGCACCTCCTCTTCATGGAATGGAAGGTTATGGAGGATTCAGGGGCAATGGGGGTGACCTGAAGGTGAGAAAGCTAAAGATACCCATCTTTGAGGGCAAAGTTGACCACCACCTTCTTAGCTCCCAAGGGGCCAGCACTAGGGATTTTGAAGGAAGTGCCTAAGGAGAGAGCTGGAGGGAGAAATGGGGGAAATTTCATAATGCTGACTGATAAGGAGATATAGGAGAAGAGGGCAAAGAGATTGTGTTTTAGATGTGATAAAAAGTATATGCCGGGGCATAGGTGTAAGGACCGAACTCTTTGTGTTTTCATCGTCTGTGATGACGATGAAGTTGAAGAGGGAGGTAGGAGTGGGTTAGAGATGGAGTAAGGGGAGTAGTTGCATCTGGATATGGCAGAAGTTTCCCTAAACTCAGTGGTGGGATTCACTCCGAATCACACTATGAAAGTGAATGAAAAGATAGCTTATAGAGAGGTGGTAGTGTTGATAGATAGTGAAACAACCCACAAATTCATTTCCACCTAGATTGTTGATCTTTTGGGGGTGAAATTAGTAGATATAGGAGGCTATAGGGTGATGATGGGCACATGAATGGTGGAAATGGGTAGAGGAGTTTGTAGGGGAGTGGTGTTGACCATTCAGAAGATACATGTGAGGGAAGATTTTTTTTCTTGGAGTTGGGAAGTACTGATGTCATTCTGGGGATGAAGTGGCTACAGACCTTGGGATAGACTAAGGTCAATTTGTTGCAACTTAGTTTTCATAACTATGTTTTCATATCATGTGTGTTTTTTCTTATTCAAAAATATTATTGCATTGATTATTATTTCTCCTAACATATTAGAAATATTATTTTTGTGGTTTGTGTATACTAACATTTTAGGGAAATCATACTCCAGACTGTTGAAGACTTCCAGACAGATTAGATTAGGGTTTACTGTAATTGGAGTATGTACTTTTTATATTTTTTTGAGTCTAAGAGAATAATTATAATTAGGTAATCGTGTACACACATACTGAGGAAGTGTAAAAAATTGTAAATTTTTAAACTAATCGTATTGTACGATCTTAGGTTTGTATGGGACGATTTTTCCTGACAGTTCCTCTAGAACGGTGTAAATCAAGTCATGCCTAAAAATTTTCTAAATCATATTATTACTGTACGAAGTTATATTCGTACATATGACGTCAAAAGTACGAAATGGACACGCACAAGTTCATCCAGAAACAAATTTAAAAATTTTCTGAATATATCGTACTGTACGATCATATGTTTGTACAGACGACTTCCAGAGTATGAAATTGGTGCGTTCCAATTCATCCATACGAACAAGTGAATTTTTTAATATGATCGTACTGTACGATCTTAGGTTGGTACAGATGACTTATAGAGTACAAACAAAGCATGATTTGGTTAAAATAGTTCATACTGTATTATATGGGGTTCGTAGAGTACGTTATCCAGAGTACGAAATCAGTTCATACAATATTGTATCGGACGATCTGGTTCAATTTTGAACTAATTGTACTGTACGATGGCAGTTCGTATAGACGACTGCCATTGTATAAAAACAGTTTGTACATGATCATACGAGCAATTTTTGAACAGTTCGTACGTACGATATTCAATCGTACTATACGATCATGGACGGTCAAATTGAAATTTTTAGTTTTCTGGACAGTTTTCCGTATCTTTCATATATAAGGTCCTAAAAACTGACTGTCTAAAACTTCTTCACATTTTCTTTTGAGAGAAAGTGTAAGAGTGATTTGGGAGAGTGTTTGGAAGTGTGGATTGAGAGATCTTGTAAGTGAAATTTGTGAAGGGTTCACAAGGTTGCTTAAATGTAAGGATCTCTTTATAAGTTTGTTAAATCTCTTCCTTTCTTCTTTGTAGGCGCTCAAGAGAAGATCTTCGAAGAATATCTGGTTCTCTGCCTACACATGGAGAGTGTGAAAGGACAGTTCTCTGTCGACATTAGGAGAGTATGAAAGGACGACGGTTCTCTGTCGACACCAGTGAAAGGATGACTGTTCTTTGCCGATGCCAGGAGGGTGTGAAAGGATGATGGTTCTCTGCTGACACTTGGAGGGTATGAAAGGACGACGGTACTCTGCCGCACTGGGAATTGGTGGAAGAGAGGTTAATTATAAATGCTTCTCCGTCTTGCTATGGGAGCAAAAGGAGAGTCACTTTGGTAATAGTGCAATACCTGAAGAGGGTGTCTTCAGGGAGTGGACGTAGATTTAGTTGGACCGAACCACTATAAATTTTTATGTTTTTTATTTTTATTTATTACATTTTTAATTTTCTGCATTTTTATTTTTGTGGTTGAAAAGTTTAGTTTGATAAAACTTTTATTGTGCTTAAAATTATAAGAACGATTTTTTGATATACCAAGAAGTTTTTTTTTAATTTCCAATTCACCCCCTCTTCTTGGTTAGCCTTGGGACAATTGCTTTAGGTCTAACAACCTGGAGGCTGGGATTATCAGGCCGAGTGTGAGTTCTTTCTATAGTCCAATCCTACTGGTCACGAAGAATGATGGGAGCTGGCGGTTCTGTGTAGACTACAGAGCTTTAAATAAGGGGACTGCCAGATAAGTTCCCTATTCCTGTGATTGATGAGCTCTTAGATGAATTGTATGGATGAATTGTTGGATTTGAAGTCTGGGTACCATCAAATCAGAATGAGAGAGACATACATCTCAAAGATAGTTTTCAGAACACATGAGGGGCATTATGAGTTTCTAGTAATGCCGTTTGGACTTACCAACACCCCTGCTACTTTCCAGTTGTTGATGAACAGGGTGTTAGGCAGTACCTCAGGAAGTTTGTTCTATTATTTTTTTGATGACTTACTGGTGTGCAGCAAAACTGAGGAGCATCTGGAGCACTTGAAGATGGTCTTGAGAGTCTTACAGGAACATCAGCTTAGGGACAATATAAAGAAGTGCAGCTTTGCCCAGGCTAGTGTGGAGTACTTTAAACATGTGGTGTCCTAAAAGAGAGTTGCGGACGACCAAATAAAAATTGAGGTGATGCTGAAATGGCCTATGCCTAGGATTATAAGGGAGTTGAGGGATTTTCTAGGACTGACTGGTTACTACAGGAGATTTGTGAGGGGGTACAACACCATTGCTTGGCCCTTGACCGAGCAACTGAAGGACAACTTTTTGTGGGGGTAGAAAGCAACTCAGGTTTTTGAGAGATTGATGAAAGCCATGACGACAGTTCTAGTTTTAGCTCTTTCATACTTCAGCCAGATCTTTTTCAGTGGAGACCACTGCATCAAGATATGGGTTGAGAGCAGTGTTAATACATAATCACAGACCTAAGGCATTCTTCATTCAAGTGATGTTGACCAGGGCGAGATTGAAGTTGGTGTAATATATTGTTGATGGCCATTATTTTAGCTATTCAGAAGTGGAGCCCTTACCTCTTAGGTAGGCATTTCATTGTCCGGACTGATCAGAAAAGCTTGAAAT